TTTATCTTTGTTGAACTTATTATTCCAGATGTAATACAGTCTTTATTGCACGTTTTAGATAAGATAATCACAATGTGAAGTGTGGCTTTGTCACTGGTAAAGGGGAAAAAAGGCAGTGTCATAAATTTGACCCCAAACTAGTGACATTAGAAATAAACAGCCATTTGTTTTGGAAGTGGTCAGCGGCAATGACGCATAATTTACTTGACTTTGCGTACCACTTGAAACAACAGCACCGAGAAGTCTGAGAAGCTGAAGTTTCTTATACAGAGTTTGCCAAAAGGAAGTAAAGTATTAAGAACTACCCTTAGCATTCCTTCCAAGTATCATTGTGAAGCAGAAGTCAGCACGCTTTTCCTGTAAAGGGTCAGATAGTAAATATTGTAGGTTTTGTGGCCATACGGTTTCTGTTGACTCAACTCTGCCCAGGTACCCGGAAAGCAGTCATAAATGATGTGTAAACAAACAGGTGTGGCCGCACACCAATAAAACTCTCTGTATGGACAATGAAATTTGATTTTCATAAAACTTTAATGTGTCAGGAAATACTATTTTTCTTTTGATTTTTTTCTCAACCATTAAAAATATAAAAGTCATTCTTAGCTCAGGCAGCAAAAAAACAGGTGGTGGATCAGATTAGACCCAGAAGCTGGAGTTTTTTCACCCTGTTCTATTCTCTCTCTCTTTTTTTTTTTTTTTTTTGAGATAGTCTCACTCTGTTGCCCCCGCTAGAGTGCCATGGCGTCAGCCTACCTCACAGCAACCTCAAACTCCTGGGTTCAAGCGATCCTTCTGCTTCAGCCTCCCAAGTAGCTGGGACTATAGCTACAACATCGCGCCACCATGCTCAGCTTATTTTTTCTGTATGTATTTTTAGTTGTCCAGCTAATTTCTTTCTATTTTTAGTAGAGACGCATCTTGCTTGCTCAGGCTGGTCTCGAACTCCTGACTTTGAGGGATCCACCTGCCTCTTCCAGAGTGCAAGGATTACAGGCCTGAGCCACCATGCCCAGTCACACCCAGTTCTACTCTAAAAGTTCAACCAGTATTTGTTGATGGTAACAACACATTCCTCCTACCGAAAACAATTTGAAAATTAAGGATCAATCCAGCATCCCCATTACATCTTCCCACTTTTCTCTTTTCGAAAACTACCAATCCTGAAGGGATAGTAGCTCCCTACTTGACTTAATTAAAACTAGGCCAATTAAGTTCCTTTACCGGACACTTTAAATGAGAGTTTCAAAATAGAACTTCATAAACATAAGGCAGCATCTTGATTAGAGGCACTTTGGCTACAAATGACAAGAATAGGATCCGAGCTGTCATGTGGATCTCACATTTACAAAGCAGCAAAAGAAACTGACAGCTTATATACTGCATGAATACAAAAATTACATTTTTACCAAACATTCATCATCATGATATGGACTTGCTTAGGGGAATGAATGAAAAAGCAAACTTACAGTAAACCAGTATCACAAAATGTTCTTAAGAATGAATGACATTGCCCAAAGTTTTAGATAATACTAAAGATAAGTTTAATGAAAATTATTTATTACTCCCTAAGTATCACCTAGACATTATTTCTTTAATCCTTGGGGGTGAAAAAATCACAGTATAAAAGGAATGTGAGGAATAATGCAGTCTATAATACTTCCTCTTACTTTTATACAACTCCTCCTTCTGAAAAGCTCAGAAGTATATTGCATTCTTTCTTCCATTCGCATATGATTCCTATGTAGACGTTGCTATATCATTTTTAATCAAAGGTGATAAAGTTTAGGACATGGTCCTCCAAAATATGATACTTTGGCATTAGAGAAAATAGCAGAAGTTGGAAGGTCATTCTCACCTTCCCCTTTCTCGTCTCTCCTGAAGCAGACCATAAAATTATTCTCTGCCCTTCCTTTGAGGAAGATCCTCATTCCAGGGGAGCCCACTCTATACCTGTAATCTTTGAAGACAGAAGAGATGCCAAGAAGAATCCAAACAAACAGGCCTTGCTAAGTTTTCCCAGTGTATTATCTTTAGATAACAACCTTTTGTCTTCCAATCATACTTCTGCGTAACCATAAAATGACCCAGGTTTCCCTGTTTCTTTGGGTCTTCATTTCTGAAGGCTCCTGTGTCATGTAAAACTTACATTAAATAAATGAGTATGTTTTTCTCTTGTTAATCTGTCTTTTATTTATAGGTGCTTCAGCAATGAACCTTACAATGGGTGAGAAATATTTTCTTCCCTACAAGGTGAAGTAAAGAGATACCCTTGGCAGAAGAGAGAATGAGAACATTGGTGAATTACCAACCTAAACCTTCTTCCAAATAGACCATGAAGATGTTACCCAGTTCCTTCCAGAAATGGAAGCCTTCTGGGATGAGAAGATTCTGACATAAATGCACTCGTGGCTCTGCATTGCGAGGGTGACTACCAATAACACCATCTTTGTAATGACCATCATTATCATTCTGGACAAGTCAAGGATTGACTGTACTGATGAACCCTGTGACAATTATTTCAGTGATTTGCCATCAATAGGGCAAATCTTCAGGGAAACTCTTTAACAGAAGAGTTTTGTGATTTGTTTGTTTTTTTTTTCTTTTAGCCCAGCATGTCTAATATCCACCTGAAAGAGAAGCTATTTCAATTCATTTGAGTTGTCTGGTACTTTTCAAGAAAATATTTTCCTAGTAATGAAGTATACCAGCTTTACTCTAAAAATTATCTGATCTTCTGCCACAAAATCAGTGTTTTGAGACCATAAGGAATATCAAATGTCAAAAGGGCACCAGTATAAAACCAATAGAAGAGTATCTTTGATTTAGGAGAGGTTTATTTATAAGAATTCATTGACCTGCTAATTTTACAAATCAAGAGGCATCGTTTTCATTTAGTTTATCCTTATGTGCCCCTTGAACCAATTTCCTAAATGAACTCTTGTTTTGCATGAATACAGACTTTCTTAGTAACTACAATGCAATCTGAATACCAATAAAAAGACATCTAACCCAACTCCACCTCCTTTTTTTAAACAAGAACGGAAACTTTTCCTAATTAAGAAAAAGGGAGTTTATATCTTGAATAGGCAAGTATTTCCCAGGTCTCTGTCTATTCAAGATGCAAATTAATTTTTGGCATTTAATTAGGTATGTGCAATGTTAACATTATACAGGAGCTTCATCAGTGATGGAAACCCTGCCCAGGAAGAGCAAACTTGTCCTTTTCCTAATAACACTGTTCTTATTCCTGTTCTATCTTAGAAACCATTAGTAAGAAAATGCTAAAAGCTATCATTCTTCAAAATGTTTACCCAACACTGTGACCCAATTGTAAACTTTCTGTAATCCAGTGGAAACACTTCTGTAGAGAATGAATGACTGAATCTAGCACAAACAATACTCCAAAGGAAAGGCACGGTGACTTCTAAGAGATCTGAGGAAGAGAGAGCTAGGTAAAGACAATGGAGGCAGTAGCTGTTCAAATAAAAATTAATGAGTAGTGTTGGCAGAGGAGTAGACATTCTTTGGAAAGTAAGATAACAGGTCTGTCTTGTTTGGGGACATGTTTAACACAGCTTTAAAAATATCACAATACAAGCTTGAATTCTACTTCTATTTATTGCAGGGTAAATTTATATCTGTGCAGTAATTCATCTCAGACTTGTGAATAATTGTTTTCTGTGATCTACCTTAAACAATGTATTATTACTCATTACAAAGTAATTAGCAATCAACTAGGTATAGTTCAAAGGGGATTATGAACAAATAAACCCTGGGAGGTGGAGAGGGGGTGGGAATGAAGGAAGAGTTGGAGTCACAGGAGGGGAAGTTGAACCCAACAAAGGCTGAAGGTGGAGGATTACAAAGTGCTCCTGGCAGGGAAATCAGGAGGCCAGGTAAACACACCAGTAATTAAGAATAAGAAGTGTGTGACCTTGTGCACACCAAGATGGATTGTTTCAAAGACTGCATCTCATAGATAAAAAAGGAGGGGCTGTGTTGACCGCTCTTTGAGATTCTTTCCAGTATCCAAATACCAATTTATATCTCCACCCAGGGAAAGGGTCCCACTAACTCCAGCTGCGAAAGTTCACCCTTCAGTCATCAGATCTAACACAGCCCCCTAGCCCTGGGCCATGCCCCCGGCCTCTACTTTCACCTGAGGACGCTCCTCCGTGGCTGAGTGGCCCAAGGGTAAGCAGTGCAAGTAAGTAGCTCTTCGAAGTTTATGGGGATCTTCGCACACCTTCAGTTGAAAGAACTGCTGAATCAAGGTGCCCCCAATGTGTCAGATCCTAGGCAATGAGATGCTCCCTTTCCTCCCCCCACCCCTCTTCCTACTCAGAAAAGAAACCGGATCTGCCTGCCCTCTCAGACAGAGGTCACCTGCAAGGAGCAGAGTGAGGTCACTCGGTTACCCCCCAAACTGCCTCCTCCAAGGTACAAAAGAGCCGAAATATTTGTGCTCAACATAAAGCGAAGACACGCCCCGGAAGGTGACCCTTTCAAAAGTGTGGTTGGATTCTGCGGCCTCCGGGCTGGGGTCGGGAGGAAGGTGCGCGCACTCGGAGTTTCCACCGCCCCACTGCCCCCGCCGCTGGGCAGCCAGGCTGCTACAGATTCCAACGCGGCCGTTTGGTGCCGTACAGAGTGTCCCCCAAAAATGAACGCAGCAGGAGGAAGCCCCTGCAGGGTCCCGGGCCGAAGGGTTTAGGGGGCACTTTCCAAGAGTTGCGCGCAACGCCCAAGTCATCTTCTGAGGGCCACCTCGCTGGCTTCCGGCTCGGTGGCGCCTGCCCTCCCGGAGTCACCGCAGAAGCCGCACCGGGAGGGGCCGGGCGCCGCGGCGGGGAAGGTCGGAGGGGCCGGGGCGCGGTAGAGGGAGGCGGCGGGAGGCGGCCGGGTGGCAGAGGCGCGGGTGGGGTGGGTGGATCGGAGGGTCCCGGGGCGGGCGTGGGGGCGAGGCGGCCGGAGGGCCGGGGCCAGCGCGGGCCTCTTACCTGTGGTGGAGAGCACGGTGCTGGCGAAGAAGAGCGCGGAGGTGAAGTCCCAGTTCCAGTTGCCCGAGGCGTTGCTGAGCACCGACACGCCGTAGTTGCTGGCCTCCAGCACCCGGCCCAGGAACTGCTCGAGCTGCTGCTCGGACAGGCACTCGTGCTCCTCCAGGAAGCGCCGCTTCAGCTTGCGCAGCTCCTGGCGAAGCAGGTCCTCGTAGGGCAGCTCGACCGAGGAGAAGACCACGGCGCCGAAGACCAGGTAGAGCAGGTAGCCGAGCACCAGGAAGCCGAAGCACCAGGCCGAGCGGTGCCGCTCCACCAGGCGCACGCACGAGCTGCCGGCCAGGGACTGCAGCATCTTCGCCGCCGCCGAAGCCAAGGCCGCCGCCGCAGACCGGCCGAGCGCGGCCCGCCGCCCCCGCCGCCCCGCCGCCCCCGCCGCGCTCGGCCCGCGCCGCCCCGCGCCTCCGGGCACAGCCGGCTCCCTGCGATTGGCCGGCTCGGGCGCTGCTTTTCTTCCTTCTTTTCCTGTTTCCTCGCAATATAAAAAGCCCAGATGATGTGGCGCTGACGTGGTTGCCGGCTCAGGTAACCGGAGAGTCAGCGGAGACCGCGCGCAAACTTGGCCGGAGCCCGGGACGCCCCAGCGCTTGGCGCTGTCCCGAGGGGTGGGGCGGGGGCTCGGCGGCGCGCAGACCCCAGCTCGGCCACCGCGGCTGCTCTAGCTCCCTCCCCGGGTCCGGCAACCAAACCCGCGCGGTGGGTGCGCGTCCGCGTGCGTGTGTGTGTCCGTGTGCGTGTGTCCCGCGCGCTGGAGTGTGGTGGGGACACTTCTGGGCGACGCGCTGGCCGGCCGAGCCCCCTGTCCCGGAGATACTCCTGTCTCCCTCGTGTTTCCTCCTAATCAAAGCCAGCGTTACGAAATAGTGAGCGCTGAAATACTTTCCTTCTCTGCCTCATTGGCTGGAGGGTTGAGAAATCTGGGGCCAGTGATGATGGTGAAAACACCAGAAGCTCAGAGTGGAAGGCACCTTGGCTCAGGAAAGACTGTTCCCACCTGCCCACTCTCTCACAAAGGAAAGTTTTAGTAAGGTCCTATTTCTGAGCTCTAATTCTCTAAAACGTGACACCTTAGGTTTTATGGTGAAGAAATGTCCCAATGTGTCAACTACCAGAAGAAACTGAACTTTCCCAGGTGTTTCTTTTTAGGGTGTCAAAAATGTCGACAAGGATTGGTGAGCTGCCTTATTGTGGATGAGAGTAAAAATCCATGTACCTCTCTGGAAAGGCGATTTGGCAGGATGTTCCGAGAGTCTTGACAGAGTTTGTGTTCTAATTCAGTGATGTGTCCTAAGATAAGTAAGCGGGCAAATGTTTATATGCAAAGCTGTTCATAAATGGTATCTGTGCATACATGCATATGTTCTATAACATATCACATATGTAGTATGTGAGATGTTTATATTTAGAGATATTTACTGTGTAGATGAAATAATGTAGAATCAGGAACAACCTAAATATTCCAAAATAGAAAATGGTTAAATAACTTACGGTATCTCTACAGCATGGATACTGTATAGCCATTAAAGATGTGTTGAAGACTACTGAAGTAAAACTGTAGAATCTCAAATATGCAAAACATTTGTATTTTGTACTGTAAAATAGAACTATATCTACGTAATTGATATACTGCATGAAAATTAAAAACCAGCTCCTAGCAATTGTCTTTGGGTAGTAGTGGATGGAGTACGTAGGTGACTTTCATTTCTTGTATCTGTTTCTTATCTTTCATTTTTCTACAGTAGACATTTTTTTTGTAATCAGGAAAAACATTAAAGATAAATAAAACCGAATTGTCCAATTATTTATTACAAAATGTAGCCTGAGGTTCTTTTTAAGGAGGTCATATTTTCAGACTAATGAGCAACAAACAAAATGCTCAACATCTCTAATCATCAGGGAAATGCAAATCAAACCTACAATGATATATCGCTTAACTCCAGTGAGAATGGCTTTTATCAAAAAGTCCCAAAACAACAAATGTTGGCATGGATGCGGAGAAATAAGAACACTTATACACTGCTGGTAGGACTGCAAACTAGTACAACCTCTTTCTAAAGCAATGTGGAGATACCTCAAAGAAATATAACTTGAACCACCATTTATTTGATCCAGCAATCCCATTCTTGAATATCTACCCAAAGGAAAAAAAGACATTCTATAATAAAGACATCTGCACTAAAATGTTTATAGCAGCACAATTCACAATTGCAAATATGTGGAAACACCCCAAGTGCCCATCAATACATGCGTGGATTAATAAATGTGTCTATGTTATTACATGGATACTACTAGCCGCAAAAAAAATAATGCTGATCTAGCACCACTTGTATTATCCTGGATAGGGGTGGAGCCCATTCTACTAAGGGAAGTATCAGAAAAATGGAAAAACAAGCACCATATGTACTCACCATCAAATTGATATTAACTGATGAACACTTATTTGCACATTAGTAGTAACATTCATTGGCCGTCAGGCAGGTGTGTGAGTGGAGGAAGGGATGGGTATATTCACACCTGATGGGTGCAAAGGCAATATACGTGACCTAAACATTTGTACCTCTGTAATATGCTGAAACAAAACAAGATCGTATTTTGTATTTTCATAGAAACTCATGAAATTGTCTAACATACGCATCAGTGATTTTTTTCACTTTCACTAAATAACCTCACCTCCTATGTTACTCAGAAGATTGACGTCATCCCTCCACTTAACTTCTCTGCACTTCAAAATCTCATCAGTAATCTATTTCTTTCCTCTGTGTTTACCCTCAGGAAAAACAGGTACCTCCTTATTTTCAAGGTGACATTATTAACCTGCCACTCCCAGTCCCTCAGCCTCTGGGAAACCTTACCTTATCAGTGAGTACCCTACTCTTTTATTTTTATTTATTTATTTATTTATTTTTGAGACAGAGTCTTGCTCTGTTGCCTGGGCTAGAGTGCTGTGGCGTCAGCCTAGCTCACAGCAACCCCAAACTCCTGGGCTCAAGCCATCCTCCTGCCTCAGCCTCTCGAGTAGTTGAGACTACAGGCATGCGCCACCATGCCCGGCTCATTTTTTCTATATATTTTTAGTTGGCCAAGCTAAAATTAGTTGGCCAATTTTTGAGTCAACAAGCTCAGGCTGGTGTCAACTCCTGAGCTTGAGTGATCCGCCCCGCGTTGGCCTCCCAGAGTGCTAGGATTAAAGGTGTGAGCCACTGTGCCCCACCTGCTCTACTCTTTTAAAACATGAATTTCTTCTTCTCTACTAGCTCCTTTTTTTTTTTTTTTTTTTGCTTGCAAATCATGTCAAGTCTCCATCCTGCACTGTCCTCTGCAGGTGCTCTGTAACCCTTGCTCACTCTAACCTTGATCTACTTGACCTGCCGAGGGACTTTTTTGTTCCTGAGGCCATCTCCTCCTGCAGCACACCCTCATAATTCTCCTCCCGCCTCTGGTGGTAACTTACCTCCCCATATCTCTGCTCACATGATTCCTTATGCCCAGACTGTCCCTCCTCCTTCTCCACCTGTGATAGAGTTTCTACACTTCAGGGCCTGGCCTGGATGCCATACATCATCCATGAAACCTCTAGTGCCCCAAGAAGATGTGCTTTCTTCCTCCTCTCAAACCATGTAACTCTTTGAATGCCAGAGTTTGGCGGGTACTAGGGATTAATGCATGTACAGGTGTGGTTATATCGTCACATGCTCAAATATACATGCACATATATGGCAGCTTTTGATACTCCCTCATCAAAACGTAGGCATTGTGTCCCCTGTTTCTGAATCTGGGTGCACTTGTGACTGCTTCAACCCACAGAGTGCATCAGAGATGATAGTAGGTGATTTCTAAGGCTAGATCATGAAAGGTCAGCAGCTTCCAACTTTGTTCACTGGAACACTCCTCTCTTGGAGCTCTGAGCCGTCACATAAGATGTCTGATTACCTTGAGGCTGCCATGCTGGAGAGGCCACGCATAGGTATAACCAGGTGATAGTCCCAATTGAGCCCAGCCTTCTGACCAGACATGAGTGTAGCCATCTTCAACCCTCAGGCCAGGCCATCTACCTCCTGAATAGCACTAGGTGACATAACTCTGTCCATGCCCCCTAGAACAGAAGAATCTCCCAGCTGAGCTCCATCCGAATGATGAAATCAGATGTTTGTTTTAAGCCACTAAATTTTGGGGTAGCTTGTTATACAATAATAGGTAATGAACAGCATGCATCTGGTTGGACCTTAAAAATCTTTTTTTCACTAGAAGTTTTCTTCTAATGAATTTGCCATTCTTTCCATATGTCACTTCTCTAGCTAAGACTGTGCCCTAGTTCTGTATTGCAACTAAGCCAAAGATACCAAATACTTTCAGATCATATTTATCCCCAGACTACAAGTAGAAACTGGACATATCAGGAGCATGGGCTAATGGGGGCATAGGTCCTGCCCTGCAGGGTGAGATCTGTGGAGTACAGCCTGGGTGTGGGGTGGAGGGACGCAAAGACGTCTCTAGTTCAGGCTCTCAGAGATGACGTGAATCCTGATCATATGGGTTGGCTATCTCCCTTCCTCTTTCTGGCCCACTGCTCTGGGCAGACTCACCTATCTTCAAGGAAGTTAGCACTCTCAGAAATGTTAGGATTTTTCCTTCTGTTGAAACCTTTACCCTATATGGTTTGTATGTACCTCATTGCTGACTAGCTACTTCCCCCAGGCCTCTTCCCAACATGGATTCAGGAGATCATCTGAGCTGGCATCCCTGCTGCCTCACCCACACTCCCGATGCCAGAGGCCATACCTAAGCATTTTTCAGAAGAGAAAGGGAATATGGAAGATAACTCAAAGATAAGTGCAGAGATATACAAGAGGGTACAGGTGTGGAGTGGGAGAGGGGAGAGAGTGGAGGAAGCAATCCCAGCTGTTTTCTGCATTGGTGTTGCCTCTAATTGACATAATTTGTAGACTGGTGACCATGCTTTGTGAAAACCAACCTTGCACTTGGCACAGATCCCTGCAAGTTAACCTGACACAGAGCTAATGATGTAAATGATCACTAATGTGTTGTCTGATAATTAGGCATAAATAGGCTTAATTATCTCAACAGGTTGAGATGATGAGATCAGTTTTGTAGAGATGGTAGCCCTATGGGAAAGTCTTTCACTTTGGATCAAAATGAAATTCACAAATATGGATTTAGGGAAATCCAATCAATCAGCAACAAGTATAGAAATTTAGCACCTGTAAGTCCACTTCTGAGTATACACTCAAAAGAATTGGAAGCAGGAACTTGAACAGATACTTGTATATCCATGGTCACGGCAGCATTATTCACGGTAGCTAAAAGGTAGAAGCAACGCAGGTGTCTATCCACAGATGAATGGAAAAACAAAAATGATATATACGTACAGTTGAATAGTGTCCAGTTTTACAAAGGAAGGACATTCTGACACATGCTGTTAAGTTGGATGAAGTTTGAGAACATTATGCTAAGTGAAATAAGCCAGTAACAAAACCATGAATACTGTTTGATTCCACTTACACGAGGTACCTAGAGTAGTCAAATTCATAGAAACAGAAAATGGAATGGTGGCTGCCAGGGATTGGGGGGAGAAGAGGATGGGAAGATATTGTTTAACAGGTGCACAGTTTCACTTTTGCAAGATGAAGAGTTCTAGAGATAGGTAGGCAATGGAAATAGTTGCTTAACAATATTAATGTCCTTAAAACCACTGAACTTTACACTTAAAAAATGGTTAGAATGGTAAATTTTGTGTTATATGTATTTTAGCACAATTTTTTTTTTAAACTTAGCATTTGTTTTCATTTATTTATTTATTTTTTTGATACAGAGTCTCACTCTGTTGCCCAGGCTAGAGTGAGTGCTGTGGCATCAGCCTAGCTCACAGCAACCTCAAACTCCTGGGCTCAAGCAATCCTGGTGCCTCAGCCTCCCAAGTAGCTGGGACTACAGGCATGCGCCACCATGCCTGGCTAATTTTTTCTATATATATATATATATATTAGTTGGCCAATTAATTTCTTTCTATTTATAGTAGAGACGGGGTCTCGATATTGCTCAGTCTGGTTTCGAACTTCTGACCTCGAGCAATCCTCCCGCCTGGTCCTCCCAGAGTGCTAGGATTACAGGCATGAGCCACCGTGCCCAACCTAAACTTAGCATTTGGGTTGACAGTGGAGACATAGCATTGACAGCTGGCTGAAGCTCTCCCACTGGCCAGTGAGCTTCCAGGTTGTACCTGTGAAATAGAGCCCTTGAAGACACAGACAGCCTCCACTTCCAGAGAGTTCTGGATGGTTTAGGTGGATAAGGGACCTGGCACAAACCCAAGTGAGAGGCACCTGGCTGGTGATAGGTCTGGAAACTCGGTTTAAGAAATGTGTGGATGATCCCAAGAGTTTTCCACGAGTAAAGAAAACTTAGTAGAATCTGATAGCTCCACTGGAAAAAAAAAAGTGAGTTTCTTTTGTATGTCTTCAAAGGGCAGAGCTAGTTTGAATGGGTGGAAGAGTCAGTGTAAGATTTAAAAATCACTATAAGAGAGAACATTGCATTCCTATGAACTGGCTATCAGTGGGATGAGCTGCTTCCAGAAACAGTGAGCAGAAGACAAACAACCACAAATTATTAGATTATTAAGTATGGAATGTCCAATTTCCTTAAGTACTAAGTTGATTATCTCTGATATTTCACTTTAACACATCTTGTTTTGCTTTTTTATTTTTATTGTGAAGATACACCCTCATTCTTTCAAACATATGTTTTGGCTTGTGATTATCTTTCAAAATTTTCTTTTTACAGCAATTTTC